TATGCTTGGACAAAAAGTGAAAGATTGTGTAATTTTTAGTGTCTCCTATAATGGGCTACTTGGTAATGAGATATCTCTCTGCCCAACTTGATCCATGTCTATACTCATATAAGTTGCTCAACATAGATTTTTTTTTACAAGAAATCATTTAGAAATACTGATTTAACATCCAACTGGTACACTTTTCAACCCTTTTGTGTTGCAATAGCAAGTATCAATCTGATGGTGTCTAGTTTGGCCACTGGTGCAAATGTGTCTGAGTAGTCCACTCCAAAAATCTGAGCGTAACCTTTAACCACAAGCCTCACCTTGTGCTTGTTGATGGAGCCATTAACATTGAGCTTTGTTTCAAAAACCCATTTGACCCCAATGATTTTTCTATCTTGAGGTTTGTTAACATGCTGTCGCGTATTATTTTTCTCAATCATATACAGCTCCTCCTTTATTGCAACCATCCAGTTTTGATCCAGTTTTGCTTCATCAATACTTGGTGGCTCACATACAACTATATTACAATTTTGATAAATATTAGAGAGTAAACTAGTGCCTCTGATTGGAACATCATCTACAAACTCGTACTCCTATTCATTTATGCGCTATTTCTCCATTTCTTGGATAGGATAATGGATCTTCATCTTAGTTGAGATTGGATGAGTGTTCTTATTTTCGAACCAATTCCACTTTTCATTTTCCATAAAGTATACATATCGGCTTATGGTTATCTTTGTTGTTGAGGATGAAAGATCTTATAAGCTTTTGAAACGGTACTGTAACCAACAAAACTTCCAGGTATCAATCTTCTATCTAGCTTGTCATGTTTCACTTGAGGAATATAAGTGAAACAAAGACTCATAAATACTTTTATAAAGCTCATAGTGGGTTTATAACCAAAACATGCTTTAAATGGTGTCATGTCTTTTATAACTATAGTTGAAAGTCTATTTTGGAGAAAAACTATTGTATTTGCCGCTTCTGTCCAAAAACACTTTAGTAAATCTTTGTCATGCAGCATGCATCTTGCCATTTCCATAATGAACTGATTCTTTCTTTCACTAACACCATTTTGTTATAGAGTGTATGGTTCTGTCAACTGATGTTGTATTCTTGCTTTATTGAAAAAAATATTAAATTGATTTGATGTGTACTCAGTGCTATTGTCTGACCTTAGACTTTGGATTATACAGCCGCTTTCATTTTATACTCTTGCTTTAAACGTCCAGAATAAGCTAGTAACTTCCAATTTGAGTTTCAAAAAGAAAATCCACCATATTTTTGTTAGATCATCAATAAATATAATGTAATATAAGCTACTATTGAGAGAGGAAGTCTTTATTGGGCCTGTAAGATTTGTATGTATCACCTGTAATTTTTTTGTTGCTCTCCAGGTTGATTTTAGAAATGAATATTTATGTTGCTTTCCAAATTGACAGTGGGGTAAATCACTATCAAGAGCACGTAAATTCCTTATCATTTGCTTCAAATTTAGCTTGAGCATTCCTTGATGGTAATGACCAAACCACTTGTGCCAAATTTTAGTCACACTTTCCCTTGCTGGATAAACTGATTCTTCTTTCTTCATAGATCACATAAAGCTTTTCTTTATCATTTTGATCTTGAACATGTCTTAATTTGTTGTATCTTTAATCAAG